TAAGTTAAATGCTGTTGTATTGGCAAACAAATCTCAACATCTGTCACAATAAAACAAACCAAGAAAAGGAACTGTCAGTGAAGGAGGCCAACACCAGGATATAACTATATGCTTTTCATCTGTTTCCTCAACCTACCACCTGAAYGCATTATATTCTGTCATTCAGAACAGATCTTAATGACAGAGCATTAATATGTGTCATCTGTGTCTAATTGCTTTTCAGCAATTCAGAAGTAAACAGTGAAAATATAATTTATTGGAATAAAAAGTATATATATGGAATAAAAAGTATATATATACACACACACACACACTCCAATTGGATATATATAATCCAAACAATGTAAATCACAACGTCTTGAATTACTTCACAGCATGTCTGAACAAAACACGTGTAATCAGGAGACATTCTACTGCTGCAACATCTCCCTGCACAAACACACGTACACCAAAAAAAGAAAAAAAAACAACGTCTCACGGCACAGACTGGGACCTGAACACGGGACAACGTGATGGCAACAACGCGACATGTCATTGGATTACGTGCTGTGAAAAGCGCGGTTCCCGTTTGGATTGGTCGACAGAAACTGTTCGAGAAGAAGAAGAAGACAAGCCATTGGCTGTRGGGACACTGAACACCCGTCTTTCACGTGGCGCTTAACAAGATCGAAAACCACCGCGCAACTGTTCCCGTCTGGTCGACAGAAACTTCGAGCGAAAAGCAGCTAATGTCCAGGCTGGAGGAAGGACGAAGGTAGAAGGCAAGTATCAAACTGAAGCTGAGTAGCATTAGCTTTATTTACCACCTTGCCTCGTCGGCAAAAGGCATCGAATCCGCTAGCATGTCGTCAACTGAAATGTTAGCTAACTATGGTGTCTTCACGTGTRGTCTGCCAGTGTAAGCTGCATTMAGTAGTCAGCTAGACTAGCCGCTAACGTTAGCTTATCACTTAACAGTGAGTCATTACGTTTGCTTTTGTGAACTAACTGACACAGGCAGTGAGATAAAGAGAAACAACATTTGTATAGAGCTGCAACAATGAAAAATAATCATGAATTATTTTCCATATAATAAATAGTAGGGGGTTGAGGTTTTGGTGGTAATTAGAGTCTTGAATATGTCAAAGATCAGCAACAAAATTGATTTTATTGTATTAGTATTTTTCATGTAGTATCAAATACTCCCTTTCAACATCCTTCAAGCACAAAAATGCCTTATTGACTTCCATGAAAACCATATTTTTGAATTTCACTGTCATTGCAGTATAAAACCATGCATTCTGGGATGTCAGCATTTCATTTTGAAGAAAAGTAGTGATATTTGATATTTCAKACACYCACCTACAATGTGAAAGTGGTTAAATCTGGTGGAATACTGTGAAACTAATGCCAATGTTGCTGAAAGCTACATATTTCTTACGCTTGGAGCATGGCTGGGAATGGAAGCTTTACAGACATAGTAACAGTAAATAAGGGGGGTGGGGCTTAGCAAAGGGTCAATACAGTTGCATAAATGTGAAGGTCATGATTCATAAACATTTTTTCTTTCTTCTTTCTCTCTGCAGATAAGTGGTGCAAGTTGATTTCATGGAATAAAAYGTGAGAACTGCATTGCAGTTAACGATGTCAAAAGATTACACCTGTCGTAGGTGTGGTGCTACAGTGAATACCCTAAAAGGGTACGTGATGCATCAAGGGCTTCATAGAAATGAGCCACATTATCAGTATGCGTGTTGTATGGAAAGTTGTAAGTTTCAGTTCA